TATCGGAAAGTCTACTCTCTTGCGTGCTCTGAGTCGCCGAGAGGTAGCCATTCCCAGCCACATCTCAATTCTACACGTCGAGCAAGAGGTGCGCTTATCTAGTAACCTTTCCCTCTGGCAGTTGTTGCTGACATCAGCTTTCAGATTACGGGCGATGATACCCCGGCAATTCAGGCTGTTCTGGATGCAGATGTTTGGCGGAAGCGTCTTCTTGCAGAGCAAGAGGTGGGCCCCACTCTATGACCTCTTCCGTTGAGAGTGAGTTAGCTGACGACTTGCAGAAAATAAGCAAACAGCTTGCAGCAATTGAAGTGGAAAGGTCGTCCATGGCAGACACATCGAAAGATGCCGCCAGGCTCGACCATGAGAGAGAGGGTCTCGATATAACCCTGAACGACATTTATTCCAAGCTGGCCGAGATGGAATCGGACAAGGCAGAATCTCGCGCTGCCAGTATCTTAGCCGGTCTCGGCTTCTCGCCAGAGAGACAGCAATATCCTACGAAGACGTTCTCTGGTGGTTGGCGAATGCGACTGGCCCTCGCACGGGCTTTGTTCTGCGAGCCGGACTTGCTTCTGCTTGACGGTAAGCCCCGTGCCTCTCAATTCCGGGTCGAGCAGTAATATCGATCTAACGCGATACAGAACCTTCAAACATGTTGGACGTGCCATCCATTACCTTCCTATCCAACTACCTCCAGTCATATCCCAGCACTATCCTTGTAGTCTCTCACGATCGAGCGTTCCTCAACGAGGTGGCCACAGATATTGTGCACCAGCATTCTGAAAGGTTGGACTACTACAAGGGAGCCAACTTTGGTAAGTATTTACTCTTTTGGACTCCAATGAAATTTCTAATAGGCCGCAGATTCTTTCTATGCCACCAAGGAGGAGCGGAAGAAGATGGCCAAGCGCGAATATGAAAAGCAAATGGCAGAACGCGCCCATCTGCAAGGTCAGTTATTCTTTTCCCTATTCTGGCATATGGTTGCATGTTTGCTGACGACAGACGCCAGCCTTCATCGACAAATTCCGTTATAATGCTGCCAAGTCATCCGAAGCGCAGTCAAGAATCAAGAAACTGGAGAGAATGCCAGTCCTGGAGCCTCCAGAGAGTGACTATGTTGTCCATTTCAAGTTTCCAGATGTTGAGAAGCTTTCCCCTCCGATTGTACAGATGTCGGATGTCTCTTTCGGCTACAGTAAAGACAAACTGCTCCTCAGAAATGTGGAACTCGACGTCCAGCTCGATTCCCGTATCGGCATTGTTGGGCCAAACGGCGCTGGTAAGACTACGGTGCTGAAGCTGTTGACTGGTCAGCTCCAGCCAACATCCGGCTTGATCTCAACCCATGCACGATTACGAATCGGTTACTTCGCGCAACACCATGTGGACGCGCTGGATCTTACTACTAGTGCGGTGAGCTTCATGGCCAAAACCTATCCCGGAAAGACAGATGAAGAATATAGACGGCATCTAGGAGCGTAAGTTTGACCCGAACTTTCTTCCTATTTCCATGTAGTCCTTATCATGTCGACTGACGTTCGTCTTTAGCTTCGGTATCACCGGAACTACTGGTCTTCAGCGCATGGAGTTGTTATCTGGAGGTCAGAAGTCGCGTGTCGCATTCGCTTGCCTGTCCCTGACTAACCCGCACATCCTTGTGCTTGACGAACCTTCTAACCACTTGGATATTGAGGGTATGGATGCGCTTTCTGAAGCGTTGCAGAGGTTCGAAGGAGGTGTGGTGATGGTATCACACGATGTGACGATGCTGCGGAATGTCTGCACTAGCCTTTGGGTCTGTGACAAGGGCACGGTACACAAGTTTGATGGCACTGTCGATGCCTACAAGAAGATGATCAGCTCTCAGGCCAATGAGGCTGGTGTGGTTGCGCAACACTAGGGGCGATGTTGATAAGCTATTCATACATTGACCAAATTTAAGTCAAAGTCAGCTTCAAAGCTTGCGGAGCGGCTGATGTCTTGATCTTATCAGCCTTTAGCCTTCATGGATTACTGTTGTAGATAAAAGATTCGCCGCTGATAACATCTCAAGCACGGGCGGAGTGGATCAGTCAGCTGTCAGGACCGTGAGCTTGGAGCCACTAATTATGATGTACACTACAGTACCAATAAACTGCCTTGTATCCACCTCAATTATCGACAACCTCATGCGACTGCAGTAGACCACTGTCTGCTGTAGTCAGTATACCACCAATGTCTACCTGTGGGAAAAAAGAAGCTTAAGCGATGAATCGTGGTGATGCAAACGATGAGTTGGCGCCCGATGCCCCTTTGCTTCCAACAGAGCAAGCGGCCGTTGATGGCACCCCTCACCCTGCTGCTGACAGCCAGACCTTGATCTTGGACTTAGCGGACTCGGGAAACCTGTTTATTTGGGCCTTGACATTCTCAGCCGGTATAAGTGGGCTTCTATTTGGTTATGAGTAAGTTCTTCGGGTCTTTTGAACACCTCTTTTTCTGCGGAGGACAAATGAAGAAAATTCACTCAACATATGAACTGACATATACGTCCTGTACAGTACAGGCGTCATCTCTTCGACACTCGTGTCTATTGGCTCTGATCTCTCAAACCGTGTCCTAACAACCCTAGACAAGAGCCTGATCACATCTTGCACGAGTCTCTTCGCTTTATTGGCAAGTCCCTTGGCTGGAATATTGGCAGATAAGCTCGGTCGTCGGAAAGTTATACTTGTCGCAGATGTTCTATTTACTCTGGGAGCCTTGATACAGGCCATTAGTGGCCAAGTATTGGGCATGATACTCGGGAGAAGTGTTGTTGGTCTAGCTGTCGGTGCTGCGAGCTTGGTTACTCCATTGTAAGTCAACCGCGCATCTCCCCCTGGAAGGAAGATGGGCCGTCTGAGACTGCATGACTCTAGATCGAGGGGATCGTTATTTTGACGGAATGACTGATCATAACCTTCCCCAGGTATATTTCTGAGTTGGCGCCTTCGCGTGCCCGAGGGAGATTGGTGACTATCTTGTGCCTCTTCATCACTGGTGGCCAGGTTGTAGCTTACATCGTTGGCTGGCTGTTCTCCACAACCACCAGTGGCTGGCGCTGGATTGTCGGCCTTGGAACTCTCCCGGCTGTGCTGCAACTCGCCATCGTCGTTGCCTTACCCGAAACTCCCCGATGGCTGGTCCAGGCGGGGCTAGAGGCAGAGGCTCTCCGTGTGTTGTCCAGGGTCTATCAGGGCCAGTCTGCCAATCATCAAATTGCTAAGCAGGTCGTGCGCAGTATTCAGCTTGAGGTAGCTGAAGAGGAAGAAGAGATGGACCGCATCAAACCTAGTATCGATTGCGGTAGGATACCATGGCGTGGGAAAGTTGCGCAGCGTGCTCAAGATCTCTTTCGCGTTGGCGGAAATAGAAGAGCATTGATCATCGCCACCATGCTGCAAGGACTACAGCAACTTTGCGGCTTCAACAGTCTCATGTATTTCTCGGCGACTATTTTTTCCATGCTCGCATTCTCCTCGCCCACCCTTACGTCTCTATCTGTGGCTGTGACCAATTTTCTCTTTACGCTGTTGGCGTTTGCACTGATCGATAGAATTGGTCGGCGTCGCATTCTGTTATATTCAATACCTGTCATGAGTGTGTCACTAATTGTCTGTGCCTTGGCTTTCGGCTCCATGGAGCTGCCGGGATTTTCTTCTGAGCCGCGATCGCAAGCTCAAGCCGACAATGGCGCCACCAATAAGTCGTTTCTTCCAATCGCTGTTCTTCTCTGCCTCACTGTGTATACCGCCTCCTATGCTTTTGGACTAGGCAACGTGCCCTGGCAACAGTCGGAGTTGTTTCCCCTGAATGTGCGTTCCCTTGGATCGGCTCTTGCGACTGCAACGAACTGGGCGTCCAATTTCATTGTCGGACTTACCTTCTTGCCCATGATGGATTGGCTTTCTCCGGGTTGGACATTTACTGCCTATGCGGGCGTTTGTGTTGTTGGATGGGTTGGCGTCTGGGCCATTTACCCCGAAATGAGCGGTCTTAGCCTGGAGGAGGTTAAAGGCCTTCTCGCCAACGGTTGGGGTGTCAGAGAAAGTTTGACAAGGAATCGCGGTAGGGTGCAAGTTGGTTAGGCTGAACTTGAATTTAGATCTCTGAGCAGACATCCATCTAGATCTTACTGGCTTCTATTCCAATTTGGAATGGAGTGCTCAACCAGAATTTTTGAGAGCTTTTGGCGAAAGTATTTGCCCGTAACTTCTGACGAGGGTGGCGATCTGCCCTAGCATGACCGGATTACCCATTTTGTATCTCTGGAGTCCCTCTTACACTGTTTGACTCTAGGAGTCATAGTTGCCATCATCACTTCTTTGACCGCATTATCGGCCAAATCTGGTTGATTTGTGAAGTATTGATTCCCACCGGTTATTCCCACTGCTTGTTTTGAATAGTGCGACGTCTGTCTCGCGGCCGACTCCTTTTGACCCCTAATGTACGTATGCATACCGTGTAGGCAGTCATCACTGTTGCTGGTTCGATTGAGTGATCCAGGACTCGAAACTTCTTCTTAGGAAGATAAAAGGGAGATTCGCGCAGTCCAAATCGGGGTGCTATGCGCAATTGTCGAGTGAGACGGAGAGGCACAAAGCAAAATATCTGCTCCCACCAGGGATGTACGGGCTCAGAGGCAGACGATGAGTGAGGATACATCGAAGCTGAGGAGTTGCCTTTAATTTTCCCGGAGTGAAAGACATTAAGTGAAGATAACAACTTGAAAGATGCAGTCAGAGGACCGGCACTCGCGGTTGTCCACCAAGTCATCCACTCACCTCATCTTCATCCCTTTCAATTAGAGACCAGTCATAGTGGCCTCACTTTTGAGTTGATCAACTCGTGGATATCTCAATACGGCGAAGCGCCTTTTCAACATCCTCGTTGGTCAACCCAAGGAAGCTGCGTCTCTTATTAACACAACTTTGCATGACACCCATGCCACACACGCTTCTTTATAAGGAACTATGTCTAGAATGCGCGGCAGTCACGAGTTAACTAACTACATTGACACTCAAGGACATCGTCGAGAAATAAGCCGGCGAAAGACAGACCCACGAGCTCGGGGGCGTCAAAACGCAAGTCCGTTGCTGCAGCTTCCAACAGAGGTACCTGCCTTGAGTTAATGTCTAGATGGACTAGTGTCTGATGATCTTAACACAGATAATCCAGTATATTGCATATCTTCTCCCGAGCGATGTCGACATAGTCAATCTTGTGTCGTGCTGTGTCCACCTAGCTATGGTGATCTTACCGGCTCACTCGTCCATCTGGCGCCAGCGATTCAAGGACCTTTACGGTATCCCTCAGAGACGTCCTTCAAGCGAGCTCAAACTGGAGTATCAGATACGTTCTATTGTGCTGTCTCAGAAGATCAGCTTCCGATACGGCCAGAAGAAGGAGCAGACATTGTGGCTGGAAGTGCTGAGAGACATGCTTCTGGAGGCACTTGAATCAGCCCCGACAGATGAACACACTGCTCCCAAGCTCCTCGAGCAGATTCGTAAGACACTCCACAACTCAGAATTCTTGAACAGACCTGTGTGCGGATATGGCGACAAGAAGGCCGATGCCCCTTCTGAGTTGTTTTGCGCTGTTCAGCTAGTAAGCCCTTCACCCGGAATATGGGTCTCAAAATTGGACACAGACTCATCAGACATTCTAGTGCCTCACTCATCTGGTGTTGGACCCGTCTATGGCCTTCTATTGCCTCAGGAATGACTATGATATTGGCGTCGTATATTCATTCCAAGTGGATATTAGTGAGCCGCTTGTGAGTGTAGACAAGCTGGACTTAGAGAAGATTTTGCACATTCGCAACTTCTGGCTTCGCCATCTCCTCAATCCGAACGAAGCGACATTCTACTCCTCCTATACATCGCTGTGTCAGCGACCGAAAGCCACGCGACCTCTGGCCGACAGCAAATCTTGCGTTAGTACTCATTGGTTGGGGTATTATTGTCAGTTATTGAGGACTCTTTATTCTGCTGAGCGCCCTACAGGAAGAAGCTAACCCGAAGTGATCGAATCTCTTTTATAGCGTGCATCCATCCGTATCCAGATTCGCTGAGTCGTCTGGAACACCGTCAGACATGCGCTGATCTGGAAACACATTGGCCGCAGGTGGACCCTATGGTAAGGCCTACATACACATCAGTCAGCTTAGCAGGTAGCTGACATCGGGTTCGCGTTTAGTCTTTGCGAATCAAGCTAGACTCTGACCCGTTGAACTGGCCGACCTTATTCGAGTCCATCATCCCTATCCTGGGGTCGAGAACGCATTGCTCATACTTTCGCGGCATTGAGACACAGCATGGATCTGATGACGATTCAACGTACCTGGTGCGCGGCTTTACAGAATCCATCCCCACGGCTCACGGTGGCTTCCCCAATTGGCGCCGTATATGCTTTGCAATCTACGATGCGGACAGGGAACAACTTCCGCTTATACCAAACGATGATGAGACATCTGGAAAGGGAAAGGATGATCTGTGGCTTCCAGAGGAAGCGTGGCCGCCATATGATTTGGAGGTCGAATTCAATTGGATCCATGGATACGAGGGAGCCATTCTCCCCAGTGGAACGATCATGATCGGACGATGGATTGATATGGTAGAACCGAATGCTCGAGGCCCTTTCATTTTCTGGAGTATGTGACGACTCATTATGCGTCGAGACAAATCGCAAGTTTCGGCGGTGGATATTTCTTGCTGCTTCCATGATCTAGTCTTTCTCTTGATTCGCTGTTCTAGTGTTTTCTCTCGTCGGGAAGAAATGCGATGGAATGCAGGATGGAGAACATAATGGACCAGACCTCTTTCACCATTTAATAAGATGGGAATATGATAACAGGCAAATGAAAATCAATGGAAGGAATGATCAATCTACTCCTCAATGTCCTTTACCTTCTCCCATTGTCCCTTCAAATTCTCTTTCCACAAGCTGACCTTGTTGTCCCCTCCGCTTACAGCAAGGATGTTTCCACTAGGGCTCCAGCTAACCCGCCACAGGACAGTGTCGAATTCCAGCTGCTGGCTGGTCCATTGGCCGGGGTTCGATGCGTCAGAGGTCCAGATCCGCACAGTCTTATCCTGAGACGCAGAGGCGATATAGGACTTGGACAGAATGCTGGGTGACCACGCGACGTCACGGACCCAGTCCGAATGACCTTCCAACGTCTGGCTGAGGTTGTAAGTCTTGCTTTCCGGGCTATAATCCAAGTAATTAGTACAGTCGTCGGTTTCAAATCCAGAAAGACTCGAAATCGTCCCGGACAAACATACTTGTAATCCCATATCTTCAGCAGGTTGTCACTGCCACCGGTAACAAACCTCCGCTGCTGACCCGGCCCAGGGTTCGAGCTGATCAAGCTACCAGGAGACGCTGCCGGGGCCCAACTGATCGAGTTCACACCCATTCCATGAGCGTGGAAGATCTGATGAGTCCAGCTGTTGTCGCGGAACTCGAGGACACTCACATGCCCATCTGAAGAAGCGCAAGCAAGGAGACATCCGCTCTCGTGTGGAGCCCAGGAAACCATATTCACCGAGGCAGTGTGGAGGGAGAAATCGAAAACTTTTGTCCAGGTGCTGCCTGCCACGGGGGATGTCGTGTTTTGGTGTTGTTCACGCCAGATAAGCACTTTTCCATCGTACGACGAGGAGGCCAGAATGGTGCCAAACTTGGGGTGAGCCTGAGACGAAGAGTAGACAACATATTAGCCATGCGAACGAAACGGAGACTCTGCATGAAAAGGACTCTCAAACCTACCCATGCCACACACCACACCGCGCCTTCGTGTCTTTTGGTTCCGAAGATGCCCATGTTAGCAAATAGAAAGCTGAGCCAGTAGAGCTGGGGTATTCACCCTTTCAGCGTTTCAACCAAGCGATGTGTCTCCCCCTCGATCTCGAAAATCTTTATTGTCTTATCCGACGAACATGTTGCTAATCTGCGGCCATAATAGTCCAATCCGGCGTCGTGCTGCAAGAAAGGGCCAGTCAAGTTAGTCCCGCGGGTCGTGATGTAATATCATGAGGTTGACATGGCGCATTATCACATACAATCATATCATCATGACCAGAGTTCGAAATAACCTGAGCAGCTGCCTTTGGAGATGTCAACAAGAGAACAATGCGAAGCTTAAAGGGGGAGAAGAGCTGCCGGAAATAAACGTACCATGATGACCAATGGGACTGCCCGAAGCAAGTATTACTGCGACAGGGAAAAAAAGTGGCTCGAGATATATATATCTCGCTGTATTGATGTTCTAGACGAGTCCGGGAGGGGGAAGATAGCGGCGGTGGAGGATCGAAATCAACATGCAAACAGGTACTCCGTAATCCGTACCGCCAGCTTGTCCGTTTCACTGCTGAGACTTGAGCCGCCGCACAAGCTGTGATCTTATCTTATCAGCTGAGGCTGACTCAGCGCTCTCTGGTCAGTGGTCAGTGGTCACGCCCAGAAGCACGTGAGACGGGCCTCGGCTTTGACACACGGCCAACCTACCGAACGGACGTTGTTCTACCCCGTCTTTACCTTGCCCCTTCATGCCTTTTACATGAGTATAATTCTTCAGTCGCTCGAAAGGCACTTTTCTACTTTTTGAATAGATATATCTTTGGACATATTTCTGATCCGCACCTCATTGCAGTTGAGGCGTAGCCGTTCTACGATTGATCACCCGTTTCTTCCACCTTCCAACGACTTGTTCTCGCCCAGCTACCGTGCTGCAAGTCACTGACAGTATGAGTGATGCTTTGTGCGGACCATCAAATGCCTTGCAAAACTTCCAGAAACATGCATCTGTTGATCGAACTCTCCAACAGGATCGGCTGATTTCCCGCCGGTCGCCCTCTCAGGTAAGCAAGGTCGCGACTCATCGGAACTTTTTTTGATTTGGATTAAACCGGTCGGCTGAACGTTCTTCTTTGACAGGGCTTCAGATCTCAGAATTCGAGCGACGGTGTCCTAGACCCCGAGTTTGCTGCTTTTGAGTCGGATCTGGCCGGACCGTCACTTCCCAATCTACAACATGCAGGACCTTTCTCAACACACGCCCACCAGCTTCCGGTGGCTAACCATGCCGAGAATGTGACCTGGGCGGCAGACTTTCAGAGACTACTTATTTCAGGGCCTTCTCATCCCATTCAGCAGCATCATGGCCCATCTGCAACCCCGGCGTCGGCGATGTCACAACCAGGTTGGCAAAATGAATTCCTGAAACAACAGCAGCAACGCCCAGCACCTACACAGCAACATCAGCAGTATACGGGAGGCTTCCAACCGTCTTTCGCACACCACCATCCCATGCATGGAGGGGTAATGAACGCCTTGCCCTCTGTACATGAGCCGGCAACCGACCAGCAACAGGCCACAGAGACATTTGATGAATCGGCTTTCGAAGCTGCATTTGAACAAGCAAGAGCGGACATGGCCTTACAGGAAACGAACGCGACGGAGGAGAAGGCCGAGCCTGCAGGCGAGACGATCCAGCCGGATCTAAGCATAGCTCAAGAACCCACCGAGCAAATCAAGATCGGGTCCGATACTATACCACAAATCGACAAGAACGACCCGTTAAGCCGGGTCAACGATGCGGATGAACTCGCTAGAACTGCAGGACAGTTACTTGACAGTGTCAGCCACGATCAGAGCGAAAAGTTCAGACAGAGTAATTTCCTGGCGCTGATGCGTCGCATCCGAGATCGCGAAGTCCAGGTCGAGGATGACGAGTTTCGTGAAGTCAGTACCAGTCCGTGATCTCTTATATTTCGGCTGGCGTGGCACGAACGCTGGTAAAAATTGTTCCATTCATATCGGCTCTTGTTCCTGCTAATTCATAACCAGACGTCGCAGTCACTACATCCTGGCGGTAAATATTATCCCGGTGGCCAGCAACAAACGCTGAGGCAACAGACGTCAATCTCACCACATCAGGATGAGCCCGATAGCGTTACATTCAGCGATATCAGTAAGTCCGACACATTGGAGGGGCCCAGTATACTGCGTACGGGATGACAGTGCACCAATCCAAGGCCTGACGCGATGAAATGTGCCAAGCAGATCGTCCGCAAGTGAGCCCTTCTACACCGGATACCGTCGAATCCATAGCGACTTCGAAAGCAGCGCCCAGGGATATACCCAGTGCGTCATCAACTGGGGCAGGGTTGGGCGACGATAACTCTCTCTATGCGAGTTGGAATTATGGCGGAATTTGAGCCTACCTGGTTATTGGACATTATACCCAATCAGCTTTTTGCCGTCCCTTTTTGAATAATGCAATATGTGAGACTAAGGACCGTTCAAGGTGTGTTGAGCTCAATTCAATCTTGGACATGGCAGTGGGTGTACTCTTTTTTTGGTAGCATTCGTTGCATTCATTGCATCCGTTCTCATTTGTTTCTTTCTTCATAGACACTTGATGGAGGCCAGTGATGAATGTTTCATTACCTACCTATCTGCATCTACCCGACTTCCAGCCTCCATCATTGACTGGGATTGCATCAATAAAATAGTAATCTTCTGCTATTTCTTATCCCTTTAGAACAATTTTACTGGGCTGATGTTCAGGGGTTGACAAATAGCTGACAGCACGTGATCCTATTCTGCCTATTGATGGGAAAGAACAATACCAACTCAATAAGGAGGCTGGGGGCATTGTTACCAACCACACTTTATTTGTTAGCGAATAAACACAAGTGCTAGCAACTATTGGTGCACCGCTGCTCTTCGCCCAACTATTGGGAAAAGTGGGCTGTCGTCATTTGGACTGCATCAATAAAGTCTTGCATGCTATTGTTCCAACTGACCTTGAGCTACATGTCGCTAATGTCCATTATGGGTTATATAACCAGCAAGATCTCATCTTGCTGTGAGAGATAGCTTCCTCTAATCTATCTTCAAGTTTGATTTCTGTGATACCGTCCTAAGCACGCTTCTTCGGACCACAGCATCAGATCTGAGTTCCACTCCAAAGTCTTGCCTGCGCATTGCCTCAGCTGCCGTATACTTTTTGAAATTTACTTTGCTTGTATAGAAAAATGCTGCCACCGTCGGATTCTTTCCTGCATCACTCCCACAAGCTTCGAGAAGTGGCCGCCAATGCGCGCAATCGTGTGGTCTGCACACCACCACCCCCATACTCTTCAACAGTCCCACGAGATTCAACCCATGAGGAGAGACAGAATGTCCTAGAGACCGTCGACGACGACACAACCTGGGAGACCTGCCCCAGTGCCAACTCCACTCCTATTATGATTAGCATTGACGCCTCCATTAGTGTAGTGGGCAACAGCAACACCATCATGATCCCATCTATGGCGGGCCATCCTCAGCAAACTCCGAGCGTTTCTACTTCAATGAATTCCGAGAATTCATCCTCCTCTACTTCCGCTTCGCCAGCAGCTTCCGAGGCGGACGCTTTGCACGTGGTTCAGAAGCAACGCCAGGCTAGACTGACCGAAATGGCAACCTCCATCATCAATGCGTTGTACGATTCGGGCCGGCTAGCACACCCGGCAGAAGACCACGAACCTGCACCGCTTGAAATCAAGATCAACACAGGAATCAAGGTTGAGGGGAGCCGCAACGTCATTTGCGTTGGTGCTACAGTCCGGGCCCAGAGCAATAAGAACGCCCAGATGGGCACGGACAAAGATCGACAGGTCATTTCAAACAGAAAAAGACGAGCTCTATCAGTATGTCATTTGAACCTTCGCCGCTTACCAAGTTGCCGGATCGTGGATCCTTTGGCTAACAATCTGATACAGGAGCCTTTCGAAGCACCGACGTCCAAGAAGAATTGTGCCCAGTAGTCGCGGAGAGCATTCCAATCCTGGCATATCCACGGACACTCATGTTTTCCATATGCGATGTCTTGATACTTCTGGTTTGCAAAATGTATCAGGGCGTTTATGTTTGAAAAGCTCGCGTACGCATCGATAGAAAAAAGCACTCCTTTGCTATCTACTATAGATGTCCCGTGCCTCTGCAAACTGTACCGTCAGTGATACGTACCACTACTAATTGCATCATCAATACTATGCTGTGACGATTGATCGAATTATAATTTAAGAGCATTCCTTTTGACATGTTCTATGCCGAAACTGGCCAAAAAGCCCGAAAGTCATCCATGGCGAGGCCGGTAACTGAGCTTTGGAAGAGTGATGCGCTCCACAACATATTACAGTAACAGCGTCAAATTGACCTGCATTAAAAGATCAAGGAAAAGTAGATCGGACAACTCCTGGAGAGCTCCAAGGAGAAAGTGAACAAGGTGCCGGTATTGAAAACCGATCGGGTGAAATGGTCCTCTTGCAGAATACAGCTATAGAAGTAAATGGTTTTCAACAAATCCGACCAAATGATGCTCGATTCCACGAGAAAAGGCAACGTTTCAGATGACGGGCCGGTAGCTAATGCTGGTAAGGGTAATTAAGCTCGAAATTGTAAAGTCAAAATCATATGCGCCGGAGTCCTGCCTCTTTAAAGGTTCATGAGAGATATCGTGCCAACCTCAGGAAAAGGGAATGAGAATAGAGAAAAAAAGAAGAAGAAGTACATGACTTATGTCCCCAAGGTCATGTAGAATAGCTGGGGGAAGAAAAAGGACAGCTTCATGGTGCTAGCTGCTATGGATGAGTCTCCCAGAGATACCGTTGTTGAGTTCTGATGAATCGATCGGCCTGGTTTATGAAGAACGAATTCACGCCGCAGCGATGGACATTCTGGGGAGTAGATATAGTTGGCGGCCAGCTTTGGTGACTATCGACCAACTGGTACATCGTGGCGATGCAAGTCTCTTGACCATTCCGGGGTGACCTTGTCACGTTCGTACAATAGGCCGCAATTGTGGCAAAGAGTCTAGACATAACAAGTTAGTGCAACGACTCGAATCTCAAACTGCTGTAGGAGCTTTCTCACCCTTGGACCAGCAGGACCATCTCGTACAGCCCAGACCGCAGAACCCCATACCATACAGTTGCTGCATCTCCAACTCTGACGTTCCCTGAAAGAGAAATAGGCAGGTTAGCACGAGTGAATGACCACATGATTCACCATCGGCGAGCGTACCAATCCGATAAAGTACCTCCACCTCCGCCATATCCAGCCCCCGAACCGGTATCCGGTGTGCCTCGTCCACCAGGAGTCCCTCCCCTTCCCGATGGGCTTAAGCTGCGGAAGCGCCTCTTTCGTTTGCTCCTTTCGCCTCTACCCAGCGGTGTCTCACTATCGACGTCGAAATAACCACTGCCCTGCCGCGACATATCTGGGGTGATGCCGGCGGTTGAAGAGAACCGGGCTGTTTCTCGCCGTAGACGTCTGATCTGGCGCTCGCGGTCTCCTTCTCGCTTCTCAATCTCTTCCTTCGAAAGGGTCTCTACCTTCGGTTCCCATTCATCGCCTAGTCCTTCGGGATCATACCGCCAACCAGCCTCGGTGCCATTGGCAGCTTGGTTATCGATCTCATTTCCGTACCCACCCATGCTACTGATCATTCCTCCGCTCTCACACACTTCCTTCTTCAATTTCAAGACAGCTTCGTAGATACCATGCGCGATGGCTCCAACCCACTCACCGCCCAGGCCTAGGTCGGCGCAGGTGACTTGCGCGAATTCCTCTGCCATGCCGGGAGGGTGTAACAAGGACCACTCAAACTTATCTGTGTACAGCCTGTTCTGCAGATTGATGTTGAGGTTGATCAGGCACCGATATGCATCGTCCGGGTTTAGTATACTGTCGTTAACTAGTGCCTCTTTTGTTACCGATGCACCAACCGCTCTGTTGTCGGGTGTTGCAGCTTGCGTAGGAACTGGCGTTGCGGACACATCTCGAGATGGATTTGTCTGAGAAGTGGGAGCGGGCTTCGATTGTGTACTTTGAAATAATGGATGTAGCGCAACACCAGCGTACTCCTCTAACTGCTGGCGTATCTGATTGCTGATTGCCAGAGTCATGGCTTGGGGGTTCGGTAGGTCCAAGTCTCGCACGAAGCCCATCGCAAATTCTTCAGGTGTCGCCAGAGCTTCATGAAGGTTCCAAAGGAACGTATCTTTAATGCGGAAGGCAGGCAGGGGATCTGGTCTTCGGTATCCGGGAAGGGTAGGGTTGATACCAGGATCCACCACACCTCGCGGCATGGGAAATGGCTCGAGAGGCTGATGCGCTGGGACCTCCAAGTCGATACGAATCGGTATGAGGGTCAGGGGGAGCTGCGCTTGGATTTGTAGCTGGTCGGCACAACTGTTGTGGAACGAAAAGTTAGTTCAGCTCGGTCGTGAATGCCCTCCAGCGGTCAAGCAAGCCCGGAGGAACGAGTTAAACAATACATACGCTGGTCGCAACATCCTCTTGATCATCCAGTCGCGAAAAACTCCCTGGACCTCCACAGGGGCATGGATTTCTTTTCCTAACTTCTCCGCCAAGGGGGTCTTGTCGGTTGTCGACTCTTCGCGCCGTAGACTTCTTAGACCAGTGGGCCTTCTTGGCCCTTCACTGTCGTCAAAGTCATCATCGTCGAAGCCATCCTCTGCATAGTTCACTGCAGTAGTGCCTCGTTTCGTCGTTCGCGGCGTCGGGCCAACTTGAGTCTGCGGAATGACTGGCGTGAGCAATGCGTTCCCATAGTGGCGTATTCGCGGAGGATAGGACGTGATATAGCCTCTGAGGGGGGACATGTTGGCCGTTTAAAAGGACAAAACCATGTCCCTCATGAAGCGTGCAAGAAGAGGTTGCTGAAAATGCGAATCAACAATGGCCTGGAATTCAACTGAGCGAGGAATTGAATTTGATTGAGACAGAGTTTTGCAAATGTGATCGATGCAGTCGCCTCAAGAGTCCGATGGCTCTTACAGGATTTGCGATGTCCTGCAACTCTGGTCTGTCGAGTCGATACCAAACAACCTGATCTTCAGAGAGGTTATGCTAAAGCTCCTTCTGTATGGTGATCGCGGTCAATGCTCCGCCTTTTTGCCTTGTCGCGTTTCTGATCTACGCTAGACCAAATCTAGCAGCACAGTCACGTGCATCACATAATGGAGAGTTCTAATAACAATTATAGACCAAAAAGGTGAGGATATGATCAGCACAAGGGACTCCTATCACTATTTTTCTGATCATGGGGTGATCCGATCCTTGAAACTGCTAGAGCTGGAACATTAAACCAACAACTAAAGAGCAAAGCCAGTGCTCTTTTCTTATTTTAGTTAACACCTCTAACAAATCAACTACTATTCATGATGTTGATGACAAGAGCTTATGTGAATTATATGTATGAAATAGGGAAGGAGGAGGAAAACAAAGAAAGAAATGCATGGAGTCCCGCCAGCTAGTGAACACAATGAGCAGAATACACAAGCACCCAATAAATTGAATACGCCATTTCGCTTGTCTGATGCAGACATGGAAATAAAGGGATATCGTCAACTTGGAAACGAAAAACTGAAGCGACGGGTTAAGGACAAGGGCTGATTTTTGTTTTTATCTGTACAGCGTCATGGAGGGGATAAACAGAGGATGCGCTGGCTGCAAACGTGTCGAATCACCGAACGAAGACTATCGGAGTCCAATAACGCTCTGTCGAGGGATTAGAACCATAGCGAGATACCAGAGCAAGCTGATTTACCATTTCAAGCGTCCAAACTCTCCGAACCCACACTTTTACTTTGCCTTCAACGCCCTCAACATTTTCCAGTTCGACACCCTCCCACCAGCATCTCCTGGCTGGTTTTCTCCAGAACAATAAGAGTTTCTGCGCCATGCCGACTGCATTGTTATTCGACAGGTCACCTCTGATGTCGGTGCGAAGTTTAGCCAATGCAAGGCTGCAAATGACCGCCTTGTTGGGTTCGGGAGCACGGTGACCCCAACGGTCGTCTCTCTCAAAACCACTACACTCCGTGAATATACTTGCAGATTTGATAGAGTTTGATGTACTTACCCTGCAGTGAGCATCTCAATAAGATGTTGCTCCGTCGATCCAGGTTCATCGCTCTTCTTCAGGCCGGAAAATATCCCGTCTTGTTTAAGAAGTGCCCTGCCGACGGCACGTTTGACCTCCATCATCTCCGTATGGTCGATGTCAGGACGCGGTGGTATCGCATAGAAATCGAGGTCCTCACGTAGGACGATGATTCCGGCCCGATCTTGTAGTATGTCTCTTGGCGATCCCAGCACCGTTTCAGACATCTCTAATTCCGGAGAAGTCGATGCTGAAGGTGAAGATGACGGGATCGACTGAGCAACTGAACGGAAGAAATCTAACATGTACTGGAGAGATGTGGGATCATACTAAGAGGGCAATTGTGAGTCATTGTCATCCATTTGGACAAAGGGAACGGCGGAAAGACTTGACGTACGTCAACGGGATAGATGTCACCCTCTTGAAATGAGCCCATATGTCCATCAGGTAGAAGACCGTTGGGAAACAGTGATAGAAGGACAAATTCAGGGAGGGTCAACAACTCATCTCTCGATAGTGTAAACCGAGTACCTCTATGTGACGAATTAGCATTTTACCAAAACAGCTTTGTATGGCTGTCACAAGGATGTGCCCTCACCGCAATTCAAGAGTGATATGCTCGTCACCACCGATGTCTAAAGTTCGTAGAACAAACAGTTAGTGATACTCGAATTACAAAAACTGCGTTCGTCCATCGCAGGTTCATTCTATCAATAGCCAAGGTCGACAAAGCTGCATACCTCCTAATGTGTTGATAGGCGGCCCTCCTGCCTGTTGCACCTGAGTGATAATACTCGACGGGCCTCCTGCCGCAGCCATCACGTACGTGAATGATTCAATGGGACTTGACCCTTCAGTGTATGGCGGAGGGGGTTCTCCGTCCTCCGCTGATTTCGCGCCGGAGGATTCACCTTTCTGGAAAAAGGCCTTGGTTTCCGCGACTATAGGCGATGAAGAGTCGTGATGTTGGGTCCCTCCGAGCAGTGGCTGGGGAGCAGGTGTTGAGAGAGAATCCGAGGCGGACTCGGTGGCAGTAACCTTTGCGAGATCGTGATCAGTCACAGTATTGAATACAAGTGATGAGAAGGGCGGCGGACGAGACGAGACGAAGCTGGAGGAGGAAGCTTCCGAGCAGGGGGAATGCGGAGGCGGTGCGGTATAGAAGTCGTCGTCGTCTTCTTCCTCCAGATGAGGACACGTTAGGTGAGGCCGCGCCGTGGTGGGCGAGCCAGTGAAGCTTGATTGCCACAGCAAGGTGTCCAGGCGTCCAGAATTTTCTTCGCAAAAAGCGTTATCAAAGAAAGTTGGCTCCAGTCCTGTCTAGAGTTGCAAAGATGAGATCGGTTTTGACAGCGGTCCCGTTGATCTAAGGGATCGAGACTCAAGAGTACTGGGTTCCCTTGTCGATCAGGAGGCTTCAGAAATGCTCACAACATAGGGGTCACACGGACCAAGAATATTCAGAATGATTCAATCAAAAGCCGTCATATAGTCCTTTTCCGAATATGGCACAGATATGATTAATGCGACAGGACAAAGAAAATGGATGATTCTCGGCAGGGGCGATTGACGAGGAAGTGGGAGTACTCCGTAGACTATCTAGAGGGAGGCGCTTAGGGATGATGGAGAACGTCAGTAGCGTAGTTCCCATCAAAAGTTACTGCTCACATTTCAGCACTATAGTATTCTTCTTATTACTCAAATACTAGAGTTAATGATTGGTATGCATTTTTAACTCCCAAGACGACTGAAGTCCTAGTGTTCACTAAATTTTAGTATCGAATAGATCTCAGAGCGGAATAGCAGTGTTGAAGAGGGAATGATACCATCTCTTTATCAACAATCACATGATCTGAACCTATCGCCATAACATCGGGAGTTATCTACACTGATGCCATGTTATTACTATGTCCAATTCAAAATCGCCGCTGGGATCGGTGTTGTTAGCTAATCATGCTATTTGAGATAAACCGGAATGCCTTTGACTAAGGCAATTTGTTACATCACTGTCTCTATCCAATCGTTGATTAACAAGTATCGTGGTATGTATTTGCATTATATGTGGTAGTGGTAGTGTTGAACGATACATGCCAGAAAAGTGCCTTGATGCCAACATTCGGCGGACAGGGAAGTCATGAACTGACCACCAATGAGTTCGTCCAAAAAGCCTTGATATTTAGACATTGCGTTCAACGAAGCTCTGGATCATGCCCTCGAGGGTGGGCTCATATTCCTTCAAAGTTACCTCGTCTCCATTTAAGATTGTGTTGCCCTGCACAAAGATCTTACGAGGGATCTTGTTCTTCAGAACAATATCGCGCACCTTGGTACCCCACCACTCATCCACAGAGGTGATATCGTCATACAACTTCTTGCCAGCGTCTATGTCGGCAGTGCATTTGCAGATGTGCAATTTCTGCAGGTATCTTTCCACCGCAGGACGTCCGTGAGTCAGGATCTTAGATCGATCCAAATGAATCTCTAGATCAGACAGATCTTCCTTGCTGTAAACAAGTCTGACAAAGTCATCACCAGCGTCGAGGAAAGTGCGAAGAATGCTGTAGCGAGCCTGCATATGAGCCTGGCCCCACTTTTGGGTCTTGGGGTCCCAGAATTCGAGGGCAACCAGACCAGCGCGAGCCATTTGCAGATATGCGGCAAATAGGACATCACCAGCCTCATTGTTGAGGTCAACCTGCCCGTCGCCAAATCCGAAGATCTTCAGAATTTCGAAGTCGCAACTAAGTACCATAGCCACGCACTCGGCTCGACATTCTTCATATGAAGATGCGATGGCCCCAAAGACAGAACTCCAAGTCTGTCCAGGCTTGTACCAAGTGGTGACTGGCTTTTTTGTGACTGGGCTCACAGGAGGGTTTGATACATCGAAGTTATATTTCCCGGGAGCCGTCTCCTGCAGTAGCTTTCCCGTTCCGTGCCCCAGTAGTTCGTGGATGCCTACTTGCACCTCGAATGCCGGATCGCGGCATCTGCGGTAAACCTCCAGGTCTTTCTCAGGGATAAAGGGCACAGGCTCATTCGGGGCTTTCGCACTCAGAACATTCCCGAGTGAAACGTTTTTGAAGCCCAGATTTTGGCGGATGTCGTCATAGTTTGGTAGGTTGATGCCGGCCGGGATGCCAGAAGACTGAAAGCTTAAGACTTCCAGGGATGTGAAGTCTGGACTAAGAAACTTGTCCTTCTCGAAATCCTTGCTCCACGGGAGCTTAGGTATCATGCTTTCCGCACTATCCACCAACTTTCCGAAAGCGCGTGTGCGCTCCAAATTGACCTACAGGATGTTAGTAATCCAAAGTCAATTAACCACCTGAAATACCTCATCGTAGAACGTGACTTACCAATGCTACAAATCCTTCCCACTCTCCTCTTACTCCGTGGGGGTCTCTGTATGTCTCCACGAAACCTAGATTGGTCTCCAAGACCGGCTTCTGATCCTTCACCCAAATGCGCTGGGCCTTTTTGAAAGCTTCAATCGACCCGGAACCGAAGGAAAAAGCATAGGCATCGAGCATCCGCTTCTGGTTTTCATTGGCTGAGTTCAGAGAAGCCTGTTTGACACTGTGGGCAATCTTTGCCATCTCCTCCCTGTGATCACCGAAAACAAGTTGAACCTTCTTTCCCTTCAACTTGCCATCCAGGTCCAGAGACTCAATGTCCCCGAGGTCCCGGTCTCTGGATGGGGGGAAGGAGACACCCGAAGCAATCCATAGCTCGAAATCGCCAGACGGCAACTTCTTGAGTCGTGTGTTCTCCAACGGCAGGCCCTTCTGCTCCATCAGGTCTCCAATGGCCGTAATTTCATCCTTGGTGATCGAAGGAGAATCCGGGTAGTAGGTGGTCATATGGCCGCCTTCAGCATAACCTAGATGCATGAGCGACTGGTTACTTGTCTCATAAATTCCACCGCCGGTGCTGTTGGCCTTTTCGAATGCTGCCTTTGTATCCGAAGTTACAGACGCCAAAGCCTCAAACGCGGCAACAGGCAGGCGAGGAATAAACTTCGAGTCACCAAAGCCCTTATAGTTACCGCAATTTCCAAGAAATTGAGCGGCGTACTCCAGGAAGAAGCGAAGATGTTCGTCGCTGACTTTTGTCTTCTGAGCGAGACTGGCCCAGTCACCATTACAGGCATTGTAGAGGGAAATAATGAGATCGTAGATCGGCTCTGACTCTGGTGAGACTTGCCGTAGTGTGATGCGGGTACCTTCAAAAGCAGCTCTGTGATCAAGCAACCAAACTACTCGTTAATCAATGTCTTTGCAATTAACTAGTGGGGTCTTCTTGTAGACACTCCGGGATAGACAAACCTGCTCAGGTAATGGGCATATTTTCTAAGCTTCCCATCCTTAAGACTATCGAAGTGTGACTTGATCTCCAGCCGTACTACAGTCGGAGGTGAGTCGGCCAGATAGTGTTGCTTGGTTTTGTCATCCATCATGGTATTAGAGACGGCTTCTGAAGACGTCGAAAGAGGGATGCAGCTTGAAAAGGAAGGAGTCGAAGATGAGAAATTAAATCGTTGAGTGAGAAGCGAAGAGCGAGCCAGACAACTGAGGGGTAAAAAAGAAGTAGTTGTAGTAGTAGTAGATGGGCGGTGGATGGAGAGCAACTGGTGATTCGACCTTAAGGCACCTAGAAGAGGGAGCATTCCTGGAGCTGTGTAGGACGTCACTACATATATCCTTACTTACCTCACTATCTGCTGACTCCAAGTCTCCAACTAAGCTAGGTCACTACATGGGCCACTTTCTTGGCGCGAAGTGGGGGAGCCAACTGGAGCCCACTCTTCCCTAATCGACGTATGGAGCAACTACAGCACCAAGATTGACCTCAACCTACGCTTCACTGCTGGTTTCTCCGTCGCCGTGATCGAGTCAGAAATGTGTGCTATATGTTCTCTGATTTGGGTGCTCCCTAAACGGAAATTTGCCCACTTACAACATCGTCGCCTATGCGGAGATCAAGAGAAATCTATGTGATAACTTTTTACCAACGGCTCGCCATCTAGGACTGAGAATCGTCGGGAATTGTGAGTCGCAGAACAAAACCAGTCAATATGGTTGAAAATGTAGGAGAAATGAGAACTAGCTGCAAATGAAAAGGGTATAGAAGCAAACAGAGTTCTTGATAAGAAGCCAACAAATTCACAATAAGCTTTCATACTTGTCCAGACCTTGCTTCTGTGTAGTCTGTATCGAGGTTGACTTGGGGTTTAAGGAGTTGGCAGGTGCCGGGGGATTCCCTACAAGCGAAGCTCTGCCAAGGGGAGTCGAACCACCAGGGCTGGCAAACGACGTCGCCATATTTGGTGCCGACGGAGGAGGTGGAATTGTAAAGGGAGAATAATTGGGGGACTGCTGCGACGTGCGGCCCGAAACAGGATTGTTCGGCGATTTCATACCTGTCAATGCACCCATGGACAAACCAGTCATGTTGCCAATGCCATTACCCTGCATGTTGTGCTGGATATTCGAGGAGGCTGGTGGACTCCAAGCGGTCGATGACGAAGGTTGTAATGCGGGGACCGTCTGGGCCATTGGAGATCTCTGTCTCGCAACAGGTTCTAATGACGGGAAAGAGCTCATATTGTAATCAGGTGTGACAGATCGAGCATTTAGATTGGACTGAGGATCTCCTCTGCTGACCGAAGACCAGGAAAAAGCACCGGCAGCCTTTTTCTGAGTAGAGATCTGTGGGGCTGGCGCTTGCGAAACCAACTCCTGCCAAGGGTCAAGGCCCTGACTGCTGGGCGCAGCACTCTCTCGACCGAGGACGAGACGTTCAAAGTTGCCCCTTGTGGTATCCACATCAGACTGCATGAGATTGTTTGACATACTGAGCGAGCTTCCAAGTCCGCTCTGAAAGCCAGTAGCTTCCGTTCCGGAAGAAAGCTCCCGCAATTTCTTCGTCTGTTCACATTCAATCTTTGAGGAAAGGCCTTTGATTACCGTCATATATTCTTCGAATTGACGAAGGCTCAGCAACGGCCCAAGGCTGAAAGTCCACAGGATAGGCAGAACCTCCAGGGCAAGGAATTCAGTGTCGGCAATAGTCCCAATTTGTCCAAAAACCTTCAAGGCGGCCATCATTACGGCTGGTTCTTTTGTCTTGATCGCTTTCAACGACGGGACAAGCTTCTCCTGTATGGTATATTTGTCTAGGATGGAAGACTTGACGGTTGTCGGCTTTTTTACTGCAGCAATGCCAGTCAGACCGTCCTCAGAGACCGCGTCGTCGCCAGTAGTACCTCCACAGAGGACAGTGAAGGCTTCCAGGCAGCGCACTTTGATGGCAAGGCTACTGGTCCGGCTGAACGTAGAGGCGATTGGAGGAAAGACTTCATTCTTAACAGTGCTGAAATCCAAAACCGGAAGGATAACCGGCAAGCATTTGATTGCAGCGTCGACCAGGGAATGGGTTGGCGAGTCCAAGCCAAGCCGAATCAGCGGCAGAATGTCTAATAGGGTCAGTCACAAGAGGAAAGGCATGATGAATAGCTGACTCACCGTCCTTGAATTCCTTCCCTGGGCAATTCTCTGCCACAATATTCATGTTCTCTAGCACTACCATTAAACCCGCGTCCTTCTTGGAGTCACGCTCCTGAACAGTCCCCTTTCCTGATTGATACGCGAAGAATATTTCCTTGAGCCGAGGAATAATTTTCTCCGGGAGAGTTCGACGTGCGTTTGCAACCCGCTGCAGTATCGCAAAAACATTCTGCAGGATCAGGGGCAACAGCTCACGATCCTTCAATTCTTCTAATAAAGCGCCCAGAACTTTCCTTTCTAGGACGGTTGGAGGGAACTCGGGTAGTACTCGTTGTAATCCTCGCATGAATTGTGATTTTTCATTTGCATTTTTGGCTGGCAAGGATTCCAAAAAACGGATGGTAGATACCAGGATATTGTCAAAATATTGAGATTGCTGGAACTCCCGGGCATTCAAGCGCTGAGCTGGTCGCCTTGTTATCAACTTAGGCAATACATGCGACAAGAGATCTTTCGGAATGGCACCCGCGCAGAGGAAATTGTTGCCCTGCGATGGAGTGGAAGATGGAGAGCTTAACAGCTTCTTGTACGAGCTCAAATTTAAATGCGATTCCAGCGGAGAGACATGAGGCGAATTATAGAGGGCGATGATAACGAGTCCCAGTGAGAACATGTCGGCAGCAGTAGTCACATTAGAGTCCAGCGCGAAGTCCGGGGACGTATAGTCAAGATTCAACTGCACTGACTGGGGAAGCCGTGGATCTTGGTAGAGAACTTCTGACAAAGCCAAGGGCGGAAGAGATGATCGAGACTCTGTAGAGCTTGGAGGCCCTGCAAATCCGAGCCCGGAGATTTTCCAGTCGGACTTGGCGTTTATGTAGATGGCTTCAGGATTCAAGTTTCCGTGGACAAGGCCTGCAGACTCATGCAGAAACTCCAGACCCTTAGCTACCTGTAAAAGTCCCTTTTGTATTTCTAGTTCATCAATCTGGAGATCTCTCCGCCGTCGAGTTCCGTCCGCCTCTGCCACCATAGAATGGCTGGGTCTTGACCCGATCCTGGACATTCTCTCTTGCTCATCTTTTTCCCGTAACAAACCGGCCAGGGACGTGGTAATTGGTTCCGTCACAAACATGAGACCACCACCACGCGTCTCTTCCACAGGTTCTAATACCTGGAGGATTGATGGATGCCTGAGACGCGTAAGGTTGCTGGCCTCACGCTTTAACCTCTCGACCACATCCTCCTGCAATTTCTTCAATGACGAGCCGGACCGGCTTCCAAGTCCACTTGGTCTGTAATCAAGCACTTTTCTGTCAAATATGAAGACGGAAGCAGTGGTACCCGTTGATTTCTTCTTTCCATCATGAATTCTCCATGGCCCAGAAACCACGGTTGGATGAGGAGATATTTGGTAATTTGCTGATATGTTGGAACTCAGCGTTTTGAGAGCAGAAGAAAACATTTTCTTTCCCAGGGCATCAGAGCCTCAAAAATAGAAATACACTTTGAATGAAGCTAGCCTGTCTCGGCCAGATGGGAAACACTGCAGATGTCAATTCAAAGGTAGCTGTAGACCAACCGGATCAATCCTTACTGAAAGAAAGTCAAGTATACACAGGAAAATAGAGCATGAAAGCTATGACCAGTACCTGAAACTGTTTGAAGATAACGCCATTGACTTTCCTCACAAATTCTACGGAACTTTGAGGCCATTTGGGCCCCATGCCTGATGTGGATATGCCCCTATCAATGCTGCGGTGTCAATTAAGCTAAAAGTCACGTGAAAGACGGCTGCCAAAAGACTGGCTTATGTTATCTCAACCATACAGGTGAACTCCACGTGACATCTTATCTCCAAGAAGCTGACTAGCGGCTATTGCCGGCATTCCATTCTGCTGGGCCCGCCGACGTCGGACATGGACTCCGCTGAGAGAACATTTGTCCCATCAATTGTGCGTTGCAATGCTTGTTATTTCGACCTCTGACACCGAGGACCTTTGTGATTGAGATTTCTCAGTGCTCTGCACCGACATTGACTAGTCTGAGGTATGTCACACATATTGCTTGATGTATGATACGCGAGCTGGAGCTTTCGGAGTTGTCCCTTGGGTCCGGCGGGAGGAGTCATCGCCTCCGCTTTTTAAGCTCCATTAATTTGCCCGGCCACCTAGCACTGTGTCCTCTCTTCCCCATTTCACCGATTGACGAAACTCTTTTGCTGATTTCTGATTCCTTCGATTTCGAAGTGCGCACAGCTGGTCAAATATTGCACAATCATGAGCTCGCTTCGTCAATTGACCCGTCATCGGGCGTTGCATAGCTTTGCTTCGACGCGTGTTCGAGTTCAGAATCCGGCGACAAGACAGTCATGGCAGCGATATTTCAGCGCAACGTCAGCCCCTGCATCTCAACTGGCTGGTCTTGACCCTTCGAAGCTCACAATTACGAAGACCACTACACCTAAGGAGCTGCAGGCACCAAAAGATCTCGTGTTCGGAAAGTCCTTCACTGGTATGGGCTCCTTGTTCTCCGGAATCCGTCGTGCCAATCTAGACACTAATGCGAATTTTTTTGTAGATCATATGCTTTCCATTGAATGGTCAGCGGCCAACGGTTGGGATGCTCCTCGCATCGTTCCGTACCAAAACCTTAGCCTCGATCCTTCGGCTTGCGTGTTCCATTATGCTTTCGAGTGTTTCGAGGGTATGAAGGCTTACAAGGATAAGAAGGGTCAGATCCGTCTGTTCCGCCCAGACAAGAACATGGCGCGTCTTAATAAGTCATCCGAGCGTATTGCCCTGCCCACTTTTGACGGCGAAGCTCTCATCAAGCTCATTGGGGAATTCGTGAGACTGGACAGCAGATTCATTCCTGAGTAGGTAGTGTCATTATCCGCTTGAATCGACCGTCGCTGACTTCTGATAGTGCCCGTGGTTACTCCCTC